CTCAACCAACCCAACCAACTCAACCCAACCCAACACAACACAACCCAAGCAAACCTGGTCACCTTCTACCACATTGTCCTATTTTATCTTCTTTATAGAATTTATGATTGGCTAAAATTATTTTATGTTTGCCTTCTCCCACTAGAATGTGAGTTCCTTGAGGGCAGGAACTGTCTGATTGCTCCTCACTGCATTTCTACTAATTAGAGGAGGCTGAACTCAAAGTGACACGGGCAAAAAATAAATATTTGGGACCAACTGACCTTTGTCCAGAGAGATGTGTCCCCACTCCCTGCATGAAATTACAACACAAAAAGAACCAGGAAGGAAGCAAAGACCTCTAAGTGCCCAAGCAGCACAGGTGACAAGACCCATGCACTATAGCTCAAGCTTCAGCACAACACACAATAAACGTCCTGTTCGGTTTGCTTTTCTGACCCAGAGCATGTTAGAAATAGCAAATAAGGTGTTGGCAGATAGCAGCTTTTCCCCCTCGGTGGACTATGGAAATCAACAGCTTGAGAGCAAAGTGGTTTTCAAAAAGCAGCTCAGTTCAGAGCAGCTCAGCACAGCTCAGCTCAGGTCCCTTTTGTGCCAGGACCAAGAGCCTTAGGTTACTCAGCAGACCCGACAGGTGGCCCCTGTTGCTGTCCTTTGCTAACAAAAATCTTCAGCAGAGCATTTCTAAGGTATTTCAATAACAGCTTCATCAATCTCAACCATGTTCTGTTTAATAAGGCAGAGGCATTTGTAATATGGCCCAGAAACATTTTTGTCTCAAATAGCTAATGTGAAAAGGACTGACGGTTGTCAGTGAATACACAGCCATCCGGAAATGGCACGTACCCAGAGTGATTTGGAGCTGTCTGGTGGCCTTCCCAAGGGCAGGCTTCCTGGTTTATTCCCCTCCAGCTCAGCTCACAGTGACTAGGGAAGGAAGGAGGGCAGCTGAGGCCTCACTGTGACTACAGAAGCCCTCTCACACCCACATTCTCACCTGAGTCAGGAGACCCAGCCACGCAACTTCCTGTGCCTCCAAGGCTGGACAGGAACCCCAGCATCTGACCTCAGCGCAGCCAGTGGATTTGGGAGGAGCTAAAGGAGCAGGTGGAGAGGGGGCGGCTGGTTATGGGACATTCCTGTAGGTGCTGTGTTGGTGGGGGCTAACCGTTCGTTTTCTGTGCAGTACACATATGCACACATGTGTGTACGTGTGTGTCGCTAACCAATGGACAGGAGTACCCGGAAGTAGAATTCACTTAGTATCAAAAGGATGGTCCTTCCAGTACAACACATGGAATGACACTGGGGTCTGTTTAGCATTTTTCAGGCACCACAATACAGCTAAAATGGAGTGTTCTCTCTGCACAGACAGACTGACACACACACACACATTTATGCCCACTTCCAAAAAGGTGTTAAGGCAGCTTACAATTTCATCTAAGAACAAGAACAATTTCATGAAATGGGAAGGTAATTATGTCAAAAATCTAGGCTAAGGACTTTAGTTGCCACAAAGTGCCAATTTCAACCCTAAGCTTCCTGGCAGCCAAGGCAGAAAGGGAAACTCTGGTGTGTTGCATATCTTATCATCTAAGGGGAGGACCACAGAATTATAGAATGCTCGTACTGGGAAGGATCACCTGGTCCTCTTATATGATAACAAAGAAGAGAGGACCAGAGGCAGAAAATGAGGAAAATGAGAGGACCAGAGGCGCCTGTGGTCAGGTGACCCAGGAAAGACAATTCAGTGGCAGTGCTGAGACTAGAATGTGGGACTCCTGAGTTCCAGCCCAGTGCTCCTTTTACTTTAGTCTTCTGTACCAGGACAAGTGCCAGATTGTTCTGAGACTTCTTTTTGTATAAAGGCAGCAGGGTGGGTGGGATCGTCATGTGCGTCAGACCTCTGGGTTGAGCCTGGCAGTGTCCTGGGGTGGGGGAGTGGTGATGGGACCCCCTGCGTGCCTCTGCTGAGTTTGTCTGGGGCCTGTACTCAGCTGGTGGGAAGCCAGGTGCCTGGTGTCGAGTGGTGGTGGGGACAGGGAGAGGGGCGATGGCACCCCCCTCCCGCCCCGAGACGGACCTTTCCTGGGAAGAAGCCTGGGGTTTGGCCCCACTCCAGGGTGCTGCAGGGGCCTCTCTCTGCTGTCTGGGATTCCAATCTCTGCAGCTGGTGTCTGAAGACAATAAGACAGAGGCCTCCCCACCCTGGGCCACCCCACCCTGGCCCCAGATGGGCTGCGGTTAGTGAGGCCTCCGCCAAGATGGTTGGTTCCTTGGGGAGAAGCTTGTGCTGAGTGGGCCCAGGCTGGGGTGGGCCAGGAGCGGGGTGGTCCTGGGGCGCGACACGCAGGATGGAAGGCCGGGACCTCGCAGCCCCCTCTTCTCCCCGGGGTTGCACAATGGAGACAGGCCTGTGGCCACAAAGCATCTAGGGAGCAGCTGTCAGGGCCCCAAGCTCCAAGGGTCAGAAGTGGAAGCATGCTCTGAGTCTCAGGGCCCTTGAATGTGAGCACAGAAGAGGCCCATGAGGACACCCCTGCCACCACCCAATTTATGCGTCAGGAGATGGAAGACCAGTGAGGCTCACTTAGCTAAGCCTTATCTGGGCAGGAAAGCTCCAGCCTTGTATGCAGGTAAGGCCCAGGGAGGAAAGACCTGGAGGTGAGGGGTGGAGGGGGGCAGTTCTGCTCCCATCAGCTTGCTCCCCCTCCAGCTGAGCTGCCTCCCACAATCTCCATCTTTAGCTCTCAAATAAATCCCTCAGCCTGACCCTCTTCCACTCCCTTCCCAAAGACGGTGCTATCTCGGCTGCCTCTCCCCCTTCGCTCATCTGTCTTCCCAGATAACCCGGGTCTCCCTTTCCCCCGCCTCGTTCCCCCACACTCAGCTTCAGCCCCCACCCCACATTCCACCTCCCTGACTCTGCTCCTCCCTCCAACTCTCAAGCCCCTCTGGCAGGACACCGGCTGCCTCCTTCCCCGATCTGTGTCCCTCCCAGCCCAGCCTCTGTGTCACCTCCACCAGCACCTCCTCCCCTCCGCCACTCCCTCCACGGAACCCACTTCACGAGACTCGAGGAACCCCCGAACGTACGGTGACAACATCAATTGTTTTAGTCCTACCCCTCCT